AATTAAGTTTCTCTATTATATTGGAAACCCAGAAATTCGAATTGAGGGTCTGTGCTTTGTTATAATATGAAAAATATTATATTTTGTAATTATTTTTTTCATACATTTATTTTCAATTGTCTGATTGATATAACTGTATATTATTTAATTCCAAAACAGAAAATTTGTGTTTCAATTCAGCGTACATTTCTTGATTGACTAAAATGTTTGTGATTACTGTTAGGGAATTTATCTCATTACCTGTCTTTTGAAGTTTATAGATACATTGTCGGTATGGGAAATTACTTTTTCCAAATTGTCAACAACTTATTTTGTTTCTTTGTATTTGAAGGACTGTTGTGTACTTCATTAATGGTAATTGTTTAAATATTTGTCCTTCTATTGTAGGTACTAGGCGTAGTACAAGTTGAGTAATAAAGCATTCTTGTATACCTAAATAGTACATGATGTTATGTAAATAACTGATGGACTCTTTCCCCCAAACGAGTCTGATTCTATAGGATTCATACAGAACAAAACCATGTCATAGTTTGACACAACACCCTAAATGATTTCTATTGGACGAAATCCCACAGGATTCCTGTAGGCCACGCTCCCGTAGGATTCCTATAATATGTTGGCGCAAAAGCCTATAGAAATAGTGCTATAAGAAGCATATGGGACAAGTGGGAAATGTGGACAAGTTTTGTTAGCGGTCTTCACGTATTTTAATATTAAATCGTCAAGTAGTGGGGGGGGGGGGGTAAAGGGTTGTCAAAATTTAGTATAAAAACTAACATTGGAATTGTAGATCTTTATTCGGGCGATGGCGATAGACAGGTATAGAGTACACATTTTCACTCTGGGAGTCGGGCTAAAATGGACAAGTCCCGAACACACGACAAGGTGCGTATTCAAGACAAGTGTCAGTTCTGTCCCAAGTGTCCAAGTACAAGTAGTTAGATATATAAGGTAAATCAGATGACATAACACACATGCCCTGATCGGACAGAATTTTGAAGTCCACCCGCCTAAATTAAATTAAATTAAATTAAATTAAATTAAATGTTTTCCCTTGAAAAAAAACACAGAAACATCTTTAATACTATATAAATAAGTCTCCACACCTACATGTTTGGTATTACAAAACGATATCATAACATATGTCATGGGAACACTCAACTTCTAATTTAAAATACTCCATTTTCTGGCATGGTAAAGTAAAACTGTATGTTGCAAATACTTTTTTTTTACAGAGAAATCTTTAAATTTAGCAACATAGAAAGGACCTTGTACAATTATCAAATTCAGTTCAAAATGGATAATTTGGAGAGATCTCGCAAAAACAGAACTCAAAAATTTCAAAAATGTTAAACATGCATTGTGTTGCACAAAACCGTACTAAGAATTTTGGAATGTTAACCATCGTATATTTCCGTATTTTCCTTATCGCGAGCTTCCGTTATCGTTGCATTATGTTTTTTTAAATAATATAGGTTCTTGTCCCTCTAATGGTTTTTGCTAGATATAGAATGGATTTTTGCACTTCTCATGGATTCCTATGTCACTTTGTTGCTCTCCGTCGTTCATTTGCATTGAGCATATGTTTTTGTCAGGTATTCGTCTATTTGATGTTTTCCGGAGTCTTCGGGGGGACTGCTACCAGTGGTTGAGGCGGTACCGTTAGTGGAACCCAATCCGCTAATATTGGATAGGGCAAAGGCTGACGTTGAGAGAAATAGAAATATTGGAGAGGATACATCCCGGAAATAACTCCAAGTTTCCCACAGTGTACTATTCGTAATAACGTTTACATACTAGTACGTTAAATTTTACTTGGCCACCCCCATCATACACAATGTTTCATCCCTTTCTGTATACACAATAGTGCAGAAATTACTGCTTTATCAATGCTATAATCAAAATGTCTAGTGATTTTGTTTTATTCTTCAAATGCGAAATCAGTGCTTCTAAACCTACAAGTTCACTACGTATATTGCTATTCTTACTATTTAAGCCAAAAATCAACATTTCCAACTACTAGTAAGATCTGATATAATTTTATTAAAGCAGCAATACAGATAACTATCGATCATTTTTCTCCGATTTTTACTTTCTCAGATTTTTACTGAGTCACTAGTGAAAATTTGTAACGGACATCGCCGAAATATGAGCATTGAAAACATAGCATATATTTTAAATACCGACGTATAATAAATCACTTATAAGTAAAAATAATAGCGACGGGGTTGCGTACTGGTCTCCAGTTGTGTCAAGCGAACCTCAGGAATTACGGTACAAGATAACAACTTACCAGGGCCACTGGGTGAAATGTCACCATCTTGATGATTTTATGTGCCACTTTTCATAATAGTGTGGGACGTCCGTCATAATTTTCTACGGCCCCGTCACGTGACCGATTTCAAGGAAATTGCGACTACTCGACCTTTTTATGAAACATAAGAGTTGTCTAGGGTCGCTTTGCCCGTGCAATTGTGTCTAAAAAAACGCTTGAAAACACTTTATCATGAACAACGATTGAGTATATTAAAGTATGCTTGTAGAGTTCTATTAACTATACGATACATGTTTCAGAAAAAAAAATATTAATGTGTCAACATGTACGGACAGAAACAACGTTTGTGCAGAAACGGCATGTTTATCTGTTGCTATCAGAAGATTATAAAAGATATACAAACTGTACACTGCTAGTGGGCGCTACACCATCCTATCTATCAGTACCGGCCACAAGGGTAACTACCTTAATGAGTGTAATGCCACGTATTGTTTATCTATAGGTCCGAGGATCGGTGGACTTACTTTAACCTTATCACGTCAGCGCTCAGTAAATTCCACTGATCAACTACAGGTGTGTACTACAATCACATAGTTACGCTGGACTTGGCTTCCCAAATTACTCTGTTGCTATAACAGGTATGTGTAATACTTCCATGTGGCAAACCATTCCATATGGCAACATTATACAGTATTATTTCTCTTTCACAAATTCGGTCATTTGTGGCAGTTTTATTTGTTGGGAATAAGGTTGTTCGCTGTTGCCTCGCATTACCTGAACTTTGAACATCCAAGCGGGTGGAACTTCGTTTATAGTGCAAGCTTATTAACATTGGTTTAGGTAGAGTTAAAACAGAGTGTATGAATAGGGTTGGGTAGGGGACATGATGTGCAGCTATGCACGTAGTATCCTTTGCTTCAACGATGTTATCTCATTGTTATGTTTACTGTTGCTGGAACCATACATCACACTGTTTACTCGATCTTTTGTAATATTTGACATCCATTTGGAACAGATTCAATTTAGGTGTTTTGTAAGGCGATTATAAAATAAATATTGTCAACACTTTTTTTATGGAAATTTGATATAAGTATTATAGAAACGACCTGGATAGCATGAGTTGGATTAATGTGTACAATTATTAACACTGTGCATAGTGCATTAATAGATTAGCTATTATCACAAGATATGAATCATCAGATCTATTTTGGGTTTGAAGAAGTGCTTCGCCAATATGATGTCTTATTTGCGATATTGCCATGTATTGGCTGTGTGCCAGTTCCTCTACCTTGTCTTGTGTACTGATCGAGCCTTACGGTTTAATTATCAAATAATAATAAGTTAATTATATACAAAATTACCTTTGTTGACAAGTATTCTAGATTGGTTACACATAAAAGTCGGTGGTGCTTGAGGTAACAAGCTATTGCTGTCATTACCCATCGCAGAACATATGCATATCAACCATATCAACAGTAAATAATAAATGTTTTATTTTTTGTCATATTTCTTACCAGACATCGGCAGACATCATGGGTAGCTGCATGTCATCCCATACAAAGTTAACAAATTCATCAAACGTAAAGAAGAAGCCATACGCACCAAAGAAGCGTACCAAGAAAAAACGAGGTAGTTCAAAATCTGGTAAAGGAAGAAAGAAATCAAAGGAAAAGAATGACGTCAAACCTCAAAATGGAACGATGGAAAAAGAAAATGGATCAAGTGAAAGTATTGATAGCTTATCAAATAAAACAAGCCAGGGCAGTGGGAGTTGTGATACGAGTTTATCAAGCGTGTTCAATACTTCGCCTACGAGCAGCCATAAGAACAATACTGAAAGTCAGCAGGAGCCTAACAATGCAGATGATTTTAACAGAAATATAATAAAGCATCTTAGAGGGGAAAGTGAATCAAGTAGTTCTTCTTATGATTCTACATGCTCTTCTTTGAGTACCATCTACAGTGAAGATGAGTTAGCAGAGAGAATAAACCAACCAAAAATATCACCCAAACAACCTGATAAATCAGAACCGCATGATGAGGGAAATGATAAGCAGACTGATGTCAAAGAACCTGAAGAGGTTAGTGAAGGATGACAAATCAGAACCTCTTGATGACCAAACAAGTGAGGGGAATGATAAACAGGCTGATGTCAAAGAACCTGAAGAGCACAACGAGGGAGGTGACAAATCAGAACCTCTTGATGACCAAACGAGTGACGGGAATGATAAGCAGGCTGATGTCAAAGTACCTGAAGAGGATGAAGAGGGAGATGACAAATCAGAACATCTTGATGACCAAAGGAGTGAGGGGAATGATAAGGAAGCTGATGTCAAAGAACCTGAAGAAGACAAAGAGGGGGGTGACAAATCAGAACCTCTTGAGGACCAAACAAGTGAGGGGAATGATAAGCAGGCTGATGTCAAAGAACATGAAGAAGATAAAGAGGGAGGTGACAAATCAGAACCTCTTGATGACCAAAGGAGTGAGAGGAATGATAAGCAAGTTGATGACAA